ACACATGCCATTTACCATACAGCAACAACCTCATTTTATCCTGGGTTTGAAACACATTTACCAGTCCCTGTGATGGGAAAAGACAATAAGTTCTGATATTTCAACAAAGAAATATAAACAAAGACGAACACAAAACTCACCAAAGGTTAACCTTTAGGCTGACACTTCACATAACATCGAAATCAGATTATCAACTCAAGACTTGCAAGTCTTATTATAACTGCAACTCCTCCCCTCCTTCTCTGACTCTCTGGAACTTGTTCCAGTAATTGACCTATATTTCTACACATTTGTTTAGCATCCCTTTTTATGTCTCACAATATAATTCAATTCTTTTAGATTAAGCAGGCTCTGAACTAACCTATCTATATCCCCTATCAACACTTCGCATCCTATGCTCTTTTAACATGAGCATACCTGATGAGAAAACACATCTCAATAATGAAAATATGTAACTTCTTAGTACAATTTCATTTAACTTGAAAATTATGTTGTTTTTACAAAAGAAAGAAGAACCAAAAATATGACCAACATCACTTTCAAAATAGGATTCAAGTCTACTCTGCTCCAGATTGTCTCTATTACATATGACACTCTTTAAATTAGGTTGAGGTCAGTCCATTAATGGCAATCAAAATACTCTTCAGATATGATTCGAAATAACCGTACGACATTTTAACAAAATCCAAAATAAATAAAATTTTTGTGTGCATTATCAAAGTGACATTTCCTTTTACATATCTCCATTCACCATGTCCCTTTTCTTCTTATATCGTTATGTAAATGCGAATATATCTAGAGTATATCTCGAGAAGAAATATGAGAGTAAATGGTCCCTTTGTTATTGGCATTCGGAAATCACATATTTGATTTGAAAGCTACAATAAACACCTTTACATCACCGCACACCATAGATGAACCGTCAATCCCCCAAAGCAAATAAACGAACGAATAGAAAGAAAAATATTAATAGCAATCGGAACTATAAACGCAAAACGCAAAATGTGTAAAAACAAGTTTGTACTAATGTTGAGGAAAGACAAGCAGTCCATCTGGCAATCGGCCGTATCAAGTAGATTAAAATCATTCACTTGACGAATAGACGTAAACCGCTGGTCAGAATTGTGCATGTTTTACATACACGTTCCATCCACGTTTTGATCTATAAAGGTATGGCAAAAATTTCAGGTTTTATTGATAATCGTCTTTTGACCAGAGTTTCTAATGTATCTAACGTTTTCCACAATCAGCAGTAACTTCATTTCATTGCCTAAAATAGAAATTTTACATGTGGATGAATCCTAAACTACTTTTAAAAATATATACATTTGTCGGTGGGTATTGTAAAGACAAAGCTATAGGTTTCGTGTTTTTCATGGTTTGCTTTATGCTCTGAAGGTCATTGTATTTTTCTGCGGTACAACGTATAGCAGGAAAATGCTGTATATGCGGATCCGTTTAATGATTACGTATTATAGGAGTGGCGAGACGCCACGATCCCGTGAGGCGGGATAGTTTGAATAGCTGAAGGCAGGTGAAAGTTATTTTTATTTTGTATTTGTATTCATTAACATTTATTTCCTTCTCAACAGCACAATATAAAACACAATGTATATATACATGATATCTGTAACAATTATTTCAACATAGAGTATACAGTAAATAATTCAGATACGGAAGGAGGCGAAAACCCGGAAAGCATAGCTTGAGTTGGGAACGCCCATAATAAATTAACACAGTTACCGAAAGAACATTATAGATATTATTATGAAAATTAAATTGTATATAACAGAACGTTGATAGGAAAGAAAAAATAGTGAAAGGAAGAGAGGAGAGACTTAAGTATAGGAAGGCATGTTCACTTATAAAGAGAAAGTTACATCAATTGGGCTGTACATTGTGTCTGTGATTACATCATAAAGATAACGAAGTACAATTGTAAAATAGACAGCGGGTACATATCATTAAGAACAAGCAAAATCATCAAACAGACAACATCTTTATGCGACAGCATTGTCCTGGGAATATACAGATGGTACTAGCAACAAGTTATCGAAATAAATATATTATCGGTCATACAAACATATCATTAAATTCCACAAAAGATCATTTCACACATAAATACAAGAGAGGGTATTGTATTGAAAGGGAAAGGAATGTTCAGAAAGGCATAATAAGAGAGGGAAATGGGTGTGGTAGCCGTTCTAGCTTTGTCAGACACTAGATACACGACACAAATTTTACTTGAACATTTTAATAAAGAACAATAGTTTGGTGTTTTTGTTGGTGGAATAGAGATTCGAATAAATCATTTTGATTGGGACGATTGGCCATTAGGTTTTTCCAGAGCATTTGCCTTATTTAGTTTATCTCTGTTTTTTTCAACCTAGGGAATCGGTCCGGGAGTAGGGCAAAAAGGCAATGCCCCATGCAGGTTACGGATCAAAGCAGATCGAATTTAATATTTTGCAATGTTGTATACAACGTCAGTATGTACTTAGGTGTGAACGTTGACGATTGAGATTGAAATTATGCAATGTTAAGAATGTTTACATTTGATAAAAATAAAAAACAAGAATGAGCTTAAAAACTGATTATTTTGATGTTTAGATTTATATAAGATTGTTAAAAAAGAAACAACTCGAATAAAAGCTGGCTGCATTATTGTAGAGCGCAATAGAGACTTCTGCTTTAGGCGCTATATAATCAAGGATAATTATTATTATTATTGGCCGGTCTGGCAAGCTTTCCCATAGAGTTTGATATTGATGTAATCTGTGAGTCATTATCTGAGTAAAGAAAAGATGAGTATATACTGGATGAGTATTTTCATCAAAGTCACACTCTAAAACCAAACACTTAAAGACCGTTGTTACTACTGGGCCAGAAGGGATTAGACGGTCACTGACAGGTGGCTATCTCATTAACTCGGCTCTCAGCTAACATAAAAAGAAGAGGATCATGGGGGACCAACAGGCACCGATTTGGGAAGTTTTCTATATAGAGGGAGCAAGTAGCTACAAGTAGGACAGTGGGGCTTTAAAGAACAAAAATATCAATGTATTTTGAACGGATTACGACTTTTAAAAGGATGAACACGACCTTTTCCCTATATATACCCTTTGTCCAAATATTAGATTCGAAAAGGAAAAAGTATAAAACTAAGGTAATACAAAATCGTTAACTATGAGTTAGAATGATTTACAAAAAGGATAAAGTACGATTGACATAATAAATGCTATATTAACACATGGTTTTCATACTTGCTAAAAATGTACTGACATTATAATTGTCACTTTACAAGTGGAAGCGGCAGTGTATAATGAATGAATAGTATTTTTTTTTTTAAATGAAAAGAGAAAGCACTTATTTGTTCTCCTTTCCCACAATACATTTATATTACACTATATATATATATATATATATATATATATATATATATATATATATATATATATATATATATTCCACGCCGTGTTGATAGATGAGAAGGATTTGTGCGATTCATCGGAAGGAGGGGCCCTTTGAAGGGCTGTTTTTAGAAAAGTTTGGAGAATACTGTATTATACAGTTACATCGTATACAGGAAATGCTGCGTCGTTGAAATTAGTTTAAATAGGGTTGACTACATAATAGTTCACTCTTCATACAGTTTGTTTCATTTGCATATAACAAAACATGTACAAAAAAAAAATTATAACGATAAAACATATACTACGGAATGTAGTAATTAAATTGAAGATAAAGTTGATTTCTGTTCATTCAAAATCATTGTGAAAGAAACGTTGTGGAATCGATCAAAAAAAAGGTAATCATCTAGCATATACGTATTAGAGAGTACTGCAAGGTTCTGGAGTCATGAAAAATCACAATACATTTAGCCCAGTCTTAGTATAGTTACAAGCACTGTACACAGAAAGATATGGGACTACACAAACATGGGGCATTAAATTCCGTCCCGACTTGTTTGATGTTACATGCAATATTTAGAATGCATTTGAAGAACCATGCTTTTCAGGGAACATTTGTTAACAGATGTTCTTCCACACTTGCATAATACAATAATAACGCTTACAAATGATTTTTCACCTCTTCCCAGAACTTAACCTTCTCATCAAAGTGCATGCTTGAATACCCAAGTTATTTGTCAAGTAAATAACCAATCTTTGCAATACAACCCCAACGAAATTTAGCAAGCTATGTGACAATGCACATGAACATACTCGAGATTGAGCATGCCAGGACTGAGCTAAATAAACTTAAAATACAGAGAGAATGCCGGCAGCATGCACCTGTGGTCACCACCTTTCCTACTGTTATGAATGTTGATAGTTTCCTTAATATAATTGTTACAAAATTGATCTGCAAGTGAAATTGTTTCTATATTGTACACTTAATATAATTCCAAGTTCAGTATTTTAATAAATCATACAACCAAACATCAATACCGGATGATGACGCACGTCATCAACGATTCCATTTCGACAAGGTTCATATAAGGCATCAAGCAACCTCATCATATTGGGTCACGTTACAAATTAATAATAGTGGAGTCGCGTACATTATGCCACTCCTGGCGCTCTGTTATTATTACAACGGCATTAGCACGGCTGCCATTACAGCGCCCGAGCATTTCTAAGGAATTTATTCTTGGCAGGTACCTATTAACCTTACCTGGGTGGCGTGTGGTGACTGTATAGATTAAAGTCTTCAAAAAGGACATTAGTGCTGCGACATGGATTCGATACCCCTTTTCTACCCCCTTTAGTGGATCTCCAAACTTGATATATCAATTTAGCTCCAAAGGGTTTTACGAAAGAAGAAGAACAAGAAAAAGAAGATGGAAAAGAAGAAGAGAGGAAGAAAAAAAGGAAGCAAACAAAATGCAGCACAACTCTCATTTTTTTTAAAACAAAGTTCATGAAATGTCAATGTTTATTCAGTTGTTAGGCTCAGATTCAAGATTGCTAACTGTCTTCTCACTTTTGTTTTTATGCTGGCTAGACTTCAGATTCATTGTCGCTAGTATTTTCTAGACACTTAATCTTGTCCATGAATAATTTCATCACTGAAATGTTTTCAAACTCTTCTAACCAGTTTCGTACCCACTCCGTCATAAGTGTTGGTGTAACCGTTGTAGGACTCTGGTCATCCCGAGTCTTCAGTCTAAGGTGTTCACGGAGTCTTTTCATTTTATCATTCTCTAGAATGTTGCATATGCTTTCGACAACGCTGGAACCTACTTCATTAGTATGATGCCTACCTATAAGATTAAGGGAAATCAGAGAAATTTCAAAGAATGGTACAGAACCTATTTTATTTGTAAGATAGTCTTTTTTGTCATGTTTTATTATGATGAAGCAGATATTTTAAAAACGTGTAAAGCCTTCATAAAGCTACTCCTCACCTACTTTCTCTGTATCTCGATCTTCTTCTCACAGTAAAAACATAAAAACAGGTATGCTTAAAGATATGAGAATCAATAATTGCCCGTTAAGAACCCACAGCACTATTCGATTTACATTGGAGGGTAGGAGAAGGTAAGAGACGATGCTAGTGGGACCTCTGTGTGTAGTGGTTAAGAGGTTTATAGTCATCATGGAGCTATCTCCTATAGCTACATGCAGTAATCGTGGGTGAGGTTCTTGCAGTGATTGCGTTTGCCCTCCCAATCAGGTATACAAGACATCAGTTACCTGCTAATAACTCAAAGTCAGCACATCAGTTGGAAAAAAGTTATTAAATATTTTAGAAATACATTAACAGTTAAATTAGTAAATTATAAAAAAGTACGAATGATATAAAAAAGATTATATTATGCATTAATTTCTCTTAATAGTGCTTACCGGCGAGAATCTTACTGGCAATCTCGGTTCTTCCAACAGCACGAAGACCCACAGCTAGCTCGAATCTGAAGTGAAGTGGCTGTAGTCTAAGCTGGTTTCTCCAGACCTTCATCAGTTTGAGGTTGTCGTATGCTCCTGTTGTTCCTTGACAGATTGAAAGAACATCTTTCTCTAATCCAAGATGGTCGACAAATTTTACAAGTTCTGCTTCCGACAATCCCGACGTCATGTTGCAAAGTTCACTGAGGCTCGCGTCATAACCTTCAGGCATGGATTTGAGAGTTTTAAATGTGTAAAGAAAACAAAACCCAGGCTGGGGAAAAGTAGCAGAGATCTTGTACGAATGTGCTATTTTCGTGAAATGGATCCAAATGAGATATTTTGCTTGCAAAATGAAAGAGTGACTCTATATAAAACATTTTCTCAGAGGGAGGATAGATTAAGGTTTTAATGTCATTTTCAGAACTTGATGAAAGATAATGTTCAGTTTTAAGAAAGACGTAAAATTAAATTCACGGAAACAAACGAAGGTCACACTGGTTATTTCAGTTTACAAATAATTGTGACGAGGAAAACCATATTGTTAGAAACTATATGATAGCCGAAAACTGAACATCTAAATGAATCCAGGCATCTATTTAACGCTAACTCCTTATTAAAATGCGTATTTTATAGGAATTCATACATACATTCATTCATATATATGCATGGGATTCTTACTTACCATAGCTTTAGATTACAAAGTGTAGCGTCCTAAATAGACGCGTCCGATAGTTATAAATGTACTTGCTATCGGTGAATAAGAGTGTGCAATTTCAGATAATCTGAATGACAGTTTGGCGTCAATGAGCCTAATACACGTCATATCGTTATTTTACCAGCTCCATCTGATAATGTTTATATTTATTTGGTTCTATCTCTACGACACAAATTGTGTTTTTCCACATTAATGCATTTTGCGTTCCGGACAAGTCTTTGAATGCCAAAAATTCCTAAGCTACCTTAAATCAAGAATGTTTCTTGACATAGGTAACATGTTAAATCGGTTAATATTCCTTACCAAAATAGCCTGATCGAGCAACATCCAAGTAACCAAGATTTCTAATGGCAACACAGAAATCACGGCGGCGATGCTCATCAAGACCCTTCGACTTCTCCAATAGTAAATTCAGAAGATGTACAGTTCCCCTCATTTGTGGTTCTCCGACCGTTTTCCCTTTGTTGATGTCTATATCAAGAAGCGTTGCCAATGGCCAAACGTCGATAGAAAACAAAGTCCATGCCAAACGTACCAGCTCAGCTTGGTCAACATGTTTTGCAGGAAGGTGGTCAACGATGCATCCTAAATGGAAAGAGACGGAGAGTGAAATATGAAACTAGGGAGAATAACACCAACTAATTTATGTTTGAACGTACTCAGGACGTTTTGGGATCGGCATGAGAACGTTGTTTGGGGATAAGTTCTACAGTAGTTATTGCATGCGCCAAAGGGCATTCTAGTTGACTGAACGACATCTAGAGAAATCGGAGAGACCGACAGCCGACTAGACGAACATCACACGAGACCAACTAAACAATGAAACTAATCGATTAACAAAGAAAGAAAAACAAACTCGATCGACATCAGCCAGTGGACATTACAGAATTGTCAGACAGACCCAAAGATCGGTCTCGTAGGCTGTGCCTATATCAAATACTGCCACCATTTAGTATGAAATCTTCCAAGACGCGGATAAAAAAGTGCAAATGTGTTAGAAACCGTTCATGAAGTTTATGAATTTTGCTATCCAACGCAACCTTATCCAGTTCAATCCACATATAATATGGTATAGCATCTTTTCCTTGCAATTACAAAACACTTCAGAATTTCTTTAACAATAAGAGATAAGAAAATAGAACGGCGATTGAGAAAATTGGGGGGAGGGGGGGGGGGGGTGGGTCTATAGTTTTCTTTCTATTTCGTGTCTTTTACGGTAAAAAAAGTGAGCAGAATTTTGTACATTTAGCAGATATTATTATATACAATTTTCTTTTTCTCTCTCATTTTGAAATCTCATATTTTCCAATTTTGTTTGTAGTTTAAATATATTTTCGAAATACATTATAATATTTTGACTTGACAGGTGGTGTTTGAAAATCAAAACTGATAATTACCTGATAATTCCATAGCATGGAGAGCTTTTCTCAGCGTTTCACGGCGTTCGTCTCCATTACATTTATTCCTCCATTCTTTGAGCTTTAGTAGAGGTGATTGTTCCTTGTCGAGTTTTATCCCGAGTCTTGAGGTAAGTTCTTCCACTTGTTTCCTGGAGGTCATGCTTCCAATCAGGTTCTCAAGTTCATCATCGCTCACGTCAAATACTTTACAGAAAATAGATAATATAAAGTATACATACAACATCATTATATGATGTTTGAAGGTTTGCATGGTGGTATGAATAATCACGGTAGAGGTTTACAGTACACCATGTGTAAAGTCCTAGAAGGACTAAGGAAAGTGGATAGAAAATAGAAGTGAAAATAGAAAGGCGAGAAAGTGGAGATTGGAAGGAAGAGTATCTTTCAGAAGTGAGTATAGTCCTGAAAAGGACTGTAAACCAGAAAGTTGTAGATAGGATGAGAGGTTTGAGTAGAAGACTGGATTGAGTTGAAGAGTTGAGTAGAATTGCAGAGCAGGAGCAGGAGAGTAGACTCGACGTTTCGGACAGGTTGACTGTCCGTCTTCAGGACTGTCCGTCTTCACTCCTGAAGACGGACAGTCAACCTTTCCGAAACGTCGAGTCTACTCTCCTGCTCCTGCTCTGCAACTCTACTCAACTCTTCAACTCAATCCAGTCTTCTACTCAAACCTCTCATCCTATCTACAACTTTCTGGTTTACAGTCCTTTTCAGGACTATACTCACTTCTGAAAGATACTCTTCCTTCCAATCTCCACTTTCTCGCCTTTCTATTTTCACTTCTATTTTCTATCCACTTTCCTTAGTCCTTCTAGGACTTTACACATGGTGTACCGTAAACCTCTACCGTGATTAACATCATTATAATAAGAAACACTCTTTGCAACTTGTGCTTCCGACTGAAAGCATAAGTATTGTGTGTTCTAAAGTAATCACTGCATGTTTTATGCTGATGAAATAAGGAAAGAACCCCAATTTTACGGGGATTTTCCATTACAATGCACAGTTCAAATCAATTGGCAAATACAAATTTTAGTTGTTCAAAGTGTATTATTTTTATAAAAAACAAGAACAACATTATAATTTTGATAATAATAATAACACTGTCGTAATTCTACAACTACATCTCGCCATGTTTAATTATGTTCTTCGTGAGGTCCAGAAATCAAGGAATGAGCAAGGAATATGTTGTTAGTACCAAACTTTAGCTGAGTTACCATCTTATGCGCTCAAGCTGACAAGGTATTTGCTTCTCCAGGGTGGAGAGTAGATTGGCATCTTTTAAATGTAAATTGCGTTACTACTACTACTAATAATAATAGCTCACATTTATAATGCGCCTAATACTTTATTTCTAGGCGCAGCACATATTATTACCTCGGTCAACGGATTCAGGCTTTACTCGCAACACAATGTCTGCACATTTTCCTCTCCCTGGGGAGTATTCCAGCCAGTCGCCATTTTTTAAAGGGCCACTTGCAGAGATTTGAGTGCCAATACACCTCCACGCAATATTTGTTTCATTCAATAATCTAGCACACTTTTCAAAGGATTCATCTAACCAGAGGCTCAGTTTTTGGTAAAATTCCCAAGGCCTAATGATCAAAGGTGTCGTATTAGAGTGGTTAACTGATTAACAGGAAAACGCAAATATCGTGGTATTGAGTCCTGACACGGCATTTATGTCTTTGAGCTAGGCATTTTATCTGCATTGCTCTTCTCTGCCCATTTGTGAAATAGGTAGCATGCATATTGGTTCGATTAGCGTCTGCGACTAGCTGGAATGCTCCCCCAGGGTGGAGAATGTACACTGTAATGTAAAGGGTAGTTATTGCATCCAAGGATGGAGTATTAATAATCCAATGATGAAGTATTAATAATAATGATTGCCAAGCAAAGTGGTCAGTTTATGGTAAAACGCTTTGTAAGAAACATATTTTTATCGAATTATTACCTATAACCTACTATCTATTTTTAGACAATTACCATGACTGTCATTCGTCTCCTTCAATGCATAACTATGAATCAAAACAAGGTCCTGCAGGGTATGTCTGTTAGATTCGTTGATATTTTGGTCTCTCCAACATCGCAGCTTCTTCAAATCGTCACCTTGCTCGTCAACTGAAATGCCTAGCTTCTCAAGAAACAACGGTGTCGCACATGTAGGAAGATGCTTCAGCACAGATGCCAGATCGTCATCGAATATACTGCTGCTATCTGTGAGTCAATCAAAATCAAATAATAGTAAAACAAAATTTGAATGGTTTAAGTGCTAGAGAATGTTCCTTTCGTTTGTCACAAGAAAACAGTTATTGAGAAATAAAGGGTTTATTTGGTACTCAAATGTACAACTAAAATCAAACTTACTGAAAGTCTCGGCTCTGGGATGTGGTCTTTCAAAAATACCTCCTGTTTCAACCCGGAAGCTGGTTGTCCCAAATGAATCTGAAAAAAGAAACAGAATGACGGTAGTTCCTACCAAAAAACAAGTCGAGCTATAAATAACGCACTTGAATGTCAATAATAACTATATAGACATACTTGTCTAAAACCAAGTTAAAACTATTATTTAATGTAACCATTACCCGTCAAATCATGGCGGCCAATTTTAATGGTGGCATCATCAAGCCTGCATCTCTTCTCGAAGTTGCAGCATTCCTGTCCGTCTATCCAGTCGTTGACCATTGACTGAATGAGAACAAGATCTTCATTGTTTTCGTCCATGATGGTGGCGATTCTATTCTCATCGGTGATTCCTACGGCCTTAGCAAGCCTCTTGCAATGTCTTTCTGTCAGTCTGTAGACGAACCCTTCTACCTCTTGTGGGGATATCGCCTTCAGAAGATGTTCAGGAACTACGGAAAAAGAAATAAGAAGTCGCGAAATATCCAGTGTTTATACTGTATAAATACCTCTGAACGATACAAATAATGAGCATTGAAACCCAGCAGCGCTGGAAGGAAAAAATGAAGAAGAGTGATAAGAAGAGTGATAAGAAGAGAGGAGGAGAAGATGAACATCATAATTACATGACCAAACCCCTCTTCTTGTCTAAGTCCCTCACATTGTGTCATATGTATGTGTATACATTCGTCTAAAAAATGCACTCCTCAGTGAGATGTAAATAATATTAAGCCCATCCATTATGGAACAATCACAGTATTACCATTTGGAGAACCACACATCGTCAAACACAGTGTGGTAGCACAGCCTGAACCACATGTGGGCCACATGTGGTAGCACGCTCTGGGACCATACAAATAATTACCACATAGTCTACCACACTGTTGCATCCACCACATAGTGTACTTCACCCTCCAGATGATGTAAGTAGCAATTATACTAATTATTTTTGCCCTTGCAACAATTAACACATTATCACTGAATATATTTTAAGTTTATAGTTAACATTTCCCTAATTTATGTTTAATTAAAATGTAATTTATGCACCCCATATCCATTATGTAAATTAACTGGAGTCAACTGGTTCACCTGGAAATATACCCTATGGACCATTTTTCAATTGGTGCAACTGGAGATATGCCAATAGTCAGGTATAAACCGGTTCAACTGGAAAAAAACCACATACTATGTGGATATTACTTTGTGGTAAACCACATGGTCTACAAATCTCACACTGACAATATACTGTGAACACAGAGTTTACACATAGTGATTCATAACACATTGTGGTAAATATATGGACACTGTGTTAAATATGTACGAGAATGTGGAAGACCACATGATCTGAAGCCCTAAACGGTGACATTACTGTGATAACAGAGTTTGCACATCGTTAAATGCATACCACACTCTGTGTCACTCTGTGTTAAATATGACCGATTATGTAGTAAACCAAACCCCACACTGTGAGAATAATGTGAGCACAGAGTTTTCACAAAGTTAAAGCCATACCACACTGTGGTAAATATATTTCCCCCTGTGTTAGATATGTACAACTCTCTGGTAAACTTCATGATTTGAACCCCACACTGTGACAATACTGTGAACACAGAGTTTACACATGGTTCTTTACATACCACACTGTGGTAAATGTGTGTCACCCTGTGTTAGATATGTACGACTCTCTGGTAAACTTCATGATTTGAACCCCACACTGTGACAATGCTGTGACCACAGAGTCAACACATAGTTCAATATATATATATATATATATATATATATATATATATAACTGTGATAAATATGAGGTACTCTGTGTTAGGTATGTCATTTTTTTTAATAGTATGTGGTAAACCAAATGGTCTGAAACTCCACACGGTGACAACAAGGTGAACACATAATGTCCACACAGTTTACACATTATTGTGTGAACATAGTGTGGCAACACTGTGCTTGTTCCATAAGGGATTGCCTCCGGGAACCGAGTGGTCCCTGTATTATGCCTATGGGATAGAGGGAATTCAATAATAAACAGGTTGAAATAATATCAATAACATTGACACCCAGTGGAGCAGCTAGTGGGCGACACACGGGTGCACCCTTTTCAAAGTGGAAATCATAACGAATCAAGAGAAACAGGGAGATGGGGAGGATAAGAGAAAGAACACAAGAATAAGATAACACAATCTTCTTCCAGGTTTTATCCATTAGATGGTGTACCTTAAGTGTTATTGATAAACCTCAGGGCATTACAATTTTACTTAAAACTCTATTGAGCACGTTTTGTTATATTTGTGAGCGACATGACAGTTTTAATTACGCAAGAAACATAAACAATATTTTTTTCTCATACAAATATAGTATCATTCGAAACGTTCAACGAAAACACATGGAACTTACCCTGAAAGAAAGTCCTTTCTAGTGGCTTACACCTAGCTCTTTCTAGAGCCAAACTTAGTTGAATGACTTGTCTTACATTGTGTTCTTTGTCACGCCATTCCCTCAAGACAACCATACATTCCTCAATAACCTCTCCTTTATTTCCTGAGACATTGGGTCGAGTTTCACGTTTCTCGGGGATCAGTTCACGAAGGAATCGGCAAATCTTTGTTTTATCACCAATGCTCCGTAAAACATGATCCAGCAGTTCTTCAGAAACCGCAGACATTACATCATATCTCCGTTCTACATAAATTGAACAATATCGTATTAATATTCGTGAGTATTCAAAAACATTGAAACTTATTATTTTTGTCATGTTTGATATAAGTCTCTAAGACGCATTTATTTTTACGCATTCTCTTTACTTAAACATAAAAATACTTTAAATTATACATTTGTTGATATATTTATTCGAAATAGTTTAAGTTGTATTTAGTGTACTTTTCCTCATCTATTTTATAAAAGCTTTCAATCAATGTCACTTTATGGTCCAATTGATTCTGCATTGCTTGCCTTGTAAAACCTTCTAAAACAAATAACGAACAAATAAATAAGAACAACTAAATTAACCTCTTACACTGTGGATCATTACATTAAGCATCAATTTAAATCAATACCAACCACAAATCTCGTTCCAGGAACAGTCAAGTCCATATACATGTAATACATCCTTCAGCCTCATTCCTTCATTGTGGAATCTATTTTCATCCTTCCAGTCACAAAGTAGGTCATAGGCCTTGTCTGCGGTTAGTTCTTCATCGACCCCAGGAGTACTAAGATCGATGAGGGCGTGCCGTAGGGCATTCAAGTTTGTTTCATCCATGGCATGTACCAGGTACCAGAGTTCAAAGAACGATACTTTCCCTGAGAGAAATCACGACCCACAAATTGTTGAGTATTATTCATAGTCGCACCAGAAATTGCAGAAATATGTTATTTCATATAACTTACGCTGAAATAATGTCAACACTCAACTGCACGAACTTCACACTTAATCTTGTATAGTATATACATAAAATAAGAGAGTAGAAAAGCAAATACCATCGCTGAAAATAACAATGATTCAAGCATTGTGATATTCTGAAGTACATATATGACTAACATTGAAGTGCTTATCTGCAAGAAAGAAATTGGATTCTTATTTTTGTATGATAAATGTAGATAAATATAAGGAGTTACCATTTATCTGTGTGTCTAGTCGCAGTGGCATGGAATCCGGGTCGTCTACTTCTGTACGGAAACAAAATTTTAGCGGAAATCAACCTGACACATTTCAGTTGAATTTATGCGGTCGAAAGCCTTTTTCATCAGGGGCGTCCCACCCATTTTGTCTTATTCCATGTGAAGGGCATTGAAAGTATGATATGATGTGATATATAAATGAAACATCTTTTATTATTATTACTTGCCTATAGTTATATGAACTCATAATAACTGCACAATTATTTTACCTTGTGCGATCTTATGATATGGCAGAACTTCAAGATATTTCTCTTTGGTGTGTTCAATGTTTTACCTTTAATTAAGTACTCGGAGAAGTGTGTGTGTACTTGAAAGATGTGTTGGTCTTGATATTAACGAATTAGACTTGAATCTATTGAAATAACCCCAGAACATTTTAAAATTATCTTTTCTTTCAAAGATGTTTCGTTTAAAGTCAGATTCTATTTCGTAATGAGAAAAGGTTTTTTTCAAATACAAAGTAACATAATAGTATATTTCTGCATGTATATGAGCTTCATTTTAATCGTCATATGAAAATGACAATGTAGAAAAATACAAATTAAAAAAAAAAATTGATGCCGATGAGTGTTCATAACCCCACCCAGTGATGGCGAGCCATCAACATATAAACATACCTTGATCCCTCCGCCGTTTCCTCCAACGCCAAAATTCGACGATGGCAACGCAAATAGAAAGCGCGGCCAATAGAGCAATGACTACGATAACTGGTACAACTGCGATTGAACGAGAACAAAAAAATATATTTTTAAAGGATCATGAAGCTCTCGATTTCTTCTTCTTCGACGAACATTTGTAAATTATAATGCTTGAAGTGAAATTGCTTTATTGTCGTGTACCTTTGTACAGATGTTTATTATAACACATCCCTTTAAATCATTTTCTTCCAATTTTTTCTTCTTGTGTCATTTGTTTAAATTGTTGAAATAATGAAAAGGAAGAATTCACAGATTGTTACCTATTTTAGCTGCAGTTCCAACTGGGGTAATGCGGGAAGTGGTTTCTGGTCGTTTAACTAAAACAGTTGCTGTTCTCTGCTGTTCCAATCCAGGAATATCAGACGAGAAACAAACATAGCTGATTTCACTGACTGTAGCGTTTGCGTATATGGTTTTGTTTTTCGTCCCGTCGAGATTTGTTACTTCAATCGTGTCTTTCGTGTGAAGACTTGTGGATCCATGTAGAAAGTAAAGATCGATATCTGGAAAATAACCTGAAGCTGAGCAGCTTATCTCGACTGATTGGCTCGTTGAAATAGTACATGTGGTTTTAGTGTCGTTTCGAGAGATCGCTTGACATTCATTGATGATTGGGAAGGGTTCCATCGGGGGAGCTATAATGTTATCAGAAATAATGTTGCCAATACATTTTTTCCCCTGTAAAAGAGGAACTACAAACGAACAATTTTTGCTAAAGATATATCCGTAGCAATTGTTAACGTAATACTTCGCATGCAAATAATCTGGTAACATTTAAAGAGTGCTTTCTGAGTCCCCATTTTCCCTCCATTGTGCTTCTTTTCATTAATTTAATCATCTTAGAAATGACTGACATATATCTTATTAAACAGACATTAAATAGAGTAATAAAGCCTAGAATAAACGTGAGAGAGAGCGTAGCGATTACACAAAGGAATATAATTATGTTATGTTGTACAAGCGTAGATGTTGGATTGAATGAAAGGTGCGGTCGATTCTGGTGTACTGGATATACCTATGGACATTTATAAGGTGTTATAACTAAAGCATCTCTTTATGACTTCGCATAATTATATTCTTGAAAGATGAGTCTATAGCCCGGCGCACACTACTCGACTTGACTGCCATCTTATTTTTGAAGAATTTTCAATGGCATTTGATATGATCGCTATAAAACTTGTAAAATTATTAAGATCAAGGATCTCAATATTAAGCCGTCGGTACCCTGGTTGCTTACTTAAAAGCATACGCATGCTCTCTTAGCAGTCAGGTAAAACAAAACAAACATGATTAATACGATCTGAAAATCAGGAAAAAACTTAATCGGCTAAAAATCGAAGTGACGTTAGACCAGTAGTGTGATTGTCCTTAGGAGAATCGTGTGGGATGTGAAAGGCTTAATGCATTACTTACAAAATACACTGATGTCCGTAAAGTTGTGTATCAGTCCCCTCTTGTAACTTGAAACTCTACAGATGTATCGACCTTGTTCTGCTATGCTGACTTCTTTGATGACCAAAGAGCGGTTTTCATTCATCTCCATGATCTGACATGGCCTTTCACCTTCACATAATCCTGTCACATTATCAGTTGGAATCCATGAAACAAGGTTTGGTGCTGTTCTTGGGTCACCCCCTTTCTTCCAATAGACAGCTAAAGGTGTCCCACGGAACTGACATGTCAGTACAACGCTGTCTCCTTTGCGTACCGTTTTGTGTAAATCAGTGTACACGAAACCATCTGGTACATCGCACAAAACACCTGTTTCAAGTCAACAATGGTTCCAACATATATTAGACCTCTACACACGGATTTCACCCATACACTTAACCCAGATAGCAAAATGTTGTGGGGCCCATCTGGGTTTTATCTGGTTACAACTGGGCTGGCCCACTTGGCCCAGATGGGCCAGCCCATCTATTGCCCACTTGGCCCATTTGGCCCAGATGGGTCCCAGATAGGCTCCTTGTGGGGCCCAGCAATCTGTACCCGGGTTATAGAAGGGCCCCAGATGGGCGGCCCAGATTGGACCCACTTGGCCCAGATGGGCCCACGTGGAACCCAGATGGGCCCCACAATAATATTTGCCCATCAATATACACAATCGTTACCTATTGGGCACCAAATAGGCCATGTGGGTTTTATGTGGGACCTACCACATTCTATATATGGGTCAAGTGGGTTCTATATGGCCCCATATGGGCTATAAGCGGGTTTATATATGGGATCCATTTGGGCCAAGTGGGTTTGATCTGGTCCCATATGGGCCAATGCGGTTTTAAATGGGCTTCCTATCGTTTAAATTTTTACCCAGTTGAATTCATTTATCCCATTTCAATTTCCAGGGACGTTACCAGTTGGGTTAAACTGGACCAGTCGTACCATTTGGCACAACTTTCAACCAATTAAAAGCTCCAATTAGCAAACTTAATTAGTAGCTTATGTAGCACTTGTACTAATTAATTTTGCCAATGGCAACAACACATCGTCTCAAATTTCCAATGTAAAGGCATTGGTGTTAAGAAGACTTGGTTATTTTACTGTGTTGAGACATTTCCACGTACTTGTATTTTATTGAATCTGTTTTAGATCATAGTTAGTGTTTTTCCTAATTCATGTTTAATTAAATGACATTTAAACAAAGAAGTGAAATGTCCTAAATATTAGCAATTTACATTTTGTAGTATTTTCGAAATGTATTGCATATAACTAAATCATCAGTAATTAGGAAATATCCTGTAAATGCAGATAAATTGTAAAAAAAACATACATGTCCACGCACCCCATATTCATTATACAAATTTTGGGATATATTTGTGGGTTTTGGGTGGGAAGGCCCATCTGGTTTACATCTGGTTTTCAGCTGGGCGAAGACAATGTTCGACGTGCGATTTTCACCACCAAAAACCCACATGGGGCCATATGGGGCCTATATGTATTGGAACTTGTGGGTTCTGGATGGGAAGGCCCATCTGGTATACATCTGGTTTTTATATGGGCCACTTGGGCTCCGTATACCTGTGGGTTCTTGGTGGGAAGGCCCATCTGGTATACATCTGGTTTTCAGCTGGGCCCAGCCGATGTTCGACGTGCGATTTTCACCACCAAAAACCCACATGGGGCCCATATGGGGCCCATACTTGTGGGTTCTTGGTGGGAAGACCCACCTGGTATACACCTGTTTTTTAGCTGGGCCCATTCGATGTTCGACGTGCGTTTTTAACCACCAAAAACCCACATGGGGCCCATATGCGTGGGTTCTGGGTGGGAAGGCCCATCTGGTATACATCTGGTTTTTGTATGGGCCACGTTGGCTTTAGTCAGCCCATACAAAACCCAGATGGGCCCCAGATATTTTGCTATCTGGGAAGCGTCAAAGTCTTCAAACACACCGCGCACCGACGTGAACAGCTTTAAAAATGTGCCAAAATCGCCTCCTTTCATCTATATCTTTTAATCCGTTCGGCCTATTTCACCACCGGAAAAAGCATTATAAAATTTGACTTTTCTTGTTTAGGGTGATCTAAAAATCACGATATTTTGTTGTTCTATCGTACCGTCATTTATTGATTCTTTTTCATCAATTTGGTCAAAATTTATGTGGTATCGAACTTTTTGACTAAACGCTCCTGGCTGTATCTGGCGGTTCCTTGACGGGATAGGGCTATTTTTTACCACCGGAAAAAGATTCATGTCATTCAGTTCATTCTGAACATTTTGATATATAAATGATTCTCATTGGATGAAAAAAAAAAACACCGTCAAAAGACTAAACTAATCGGTACCTCCGTCTGACTTTGGGAACTTTCCGCATTCGATCGCCTTTTCCCAATTGATTTACGTAGGTACGGCAGCCAGCGGACCGGGTCGTACCATTCTTGCTCGAGGGAAATGACGCCATGGAAATAAGAGTGTAATAAATTTTTAGTAAATAATTACGTAGGCAGAGCGCAAGAGTGAATTGTATCTCACATTCCTTGTCAAGATAAGAAAAATGCCTGCATGCATGCTGAGCATAAACAGTCTCAATTAATTGCCATACGTGACCCTTCCACAATGCCCACCCCCGTGTCAACCTTGCTCAAAATAGAACGGTCGCGAACCTAAAGTGATCCAATCAGGGCCAATCAGATTCAGCCGCACAGATGCGCGGACATTGTACGCGTAGTCGGTTCTGTATGTGCGCGCAGCTGACCCCAGCTGATTAAAAGCTTCAAATTAGGTGAAAGAAATCGGGGGTCACAAATTCGTATGGATAGAAATCCATTTAAACATTTTGTAAAAAAAATCACATATCATTATGTTTAAATTGTGTAGCGTGATTTGTTGAGATGCCTACTGTAAAGCTATAAAATCATTCATTTTCAGTCTTAAGAATGATTTCAA